CGCCGCTAGATGGCGCTGTCAAACCAAACGGAATCTGTGTGTCATTGGACACCTGTCATGCGTCATTGGCATCTCACGCATAGATGGCGCGATGTCGTCATGGACACTGTCCATTGATGGGTTGGGCATCTCGCGCATAGATGGCGCCGATGTCGCACCTGTCTGGTGTTGGCGTGGATTACGGGGGGCAACGTGTATACAGGGGTGCATCGAAAAATAGCGGATCGATGGACCGACGGTATATCGTTAAATCGTATATAGCAAGGCGTGACCTAAATAGCGTGGTGGGCTCCTCTGGTCGGTCGGTCGGTCGGTCAGAATGTCTCATGTATACGATGTACTGTTATTATTATACAGGATGATACCGTTCAAAATGAAAATAGTAGAGACATTCTGACAATTATTTCGCAAACCAGAGGTATTTTCAATAAAACTACAATAATACGTTTAATATTTTATTGAAAATAGAAAAAACTACATAGGTAATATGATATTTGAAAACCAGTGGCGTAGACGTTCAACATTTCTCTGGGTACAGGAAAATTGTCCGTTGGTGTGGCATGGATTGGAATCAGCAACAAAGTTTCCAGTAGCACACGGTGTACCATCATACTTGCAAACATCAATAATGTTGGGAAAAACACCAAAAATGTGACATTTCTTGAGTAAAAAGTTTGCTTTCTGTTCTCCACGAACGTAGACATAGTCAGCCGCATATATCACCTTATTTTTAATTATTTCATTTAACTTGGAATATTTAACGTCGCCGGAAGAATATTTAAGCCCATGGAAATTCTTCTCCAAGTAAGCGACAGTTTTCTTGTCTTTAGTATTTAATGTAGAAAAAGGTTGCGGAGGTGTAAAGATGTAATGACTTTTCTTGAAACCAATTTCGATACATAGTTCTTTAGGTACGAATAATCCGTCAACTGTAAAGCCTTGAATGTCAACAAACGCGATCCTCATGATGTCTGATGCGGAACTGAGAGTCCTTCGTTGCTTACGAGATGGTTTTAATAACTTCGGTGAGGGGGAAGTACTCGATTAAGCAGTCATGTATAATGATGCAGTAGGCCTTGGTGTTGGTTGGAAAGCCAGTATCGGCTTCGATATCCAATCTAACATCAACAGTTGATGATTTCATGGTTTCCTCTTGTTTGGAACAGTCAATAACAAACAAAGCGCGATTTTTAAAAGCGGTATAATCTAAAAGACATCTCTTCAGAGGAGAAGAAGAAGTTGTATAGCTGGTTTGAAAGTCGCTATAGTTGAAATGAGCTTCAGTAAAGTGATTGTTTGCAAAGTCCAATTGCATACGTTCGTTGGGATAGTATTCACCATTTAAAGATACTCGAATACTAGCAGCATTCACGTGATCAAACAGGGTAGGGTCTGAGGTTGCGACGTCACGTTTACCGGTTTGGAAACATACTATAATGAAACGTGGTCTTTCGATTGCGGTGCTAGTTTTAACTGACCATATTTCTCTTCTCGCATCTGCGGTAATTGCAGGCAGTTCATTCAGATCCCATTTTCTAAACGGTATAAGTATCGGCTTATCAGTTTGAATAGCTTTCAAAAGTTGTTCTTTCACATCATCACTCGGGTAAATATGTTTGATTTTCAGTTCCATGCTTTCAATAGTTATTTTCGCTGTCGTCGTCGTTCCAGTTTTTTCCTTGATAATGATACAATCGTTATCGTTTCTAGCTCTCACAAATCTGAGAGTTTGTCTGCCACACGTAATCATAGGATAATCATTGAAAATGTTGAAAATATGTTTAAGCGGCATTAGCAAGCTAAAAGACTTGTTATGTGTTGACGCCATTATAGGTGTTGAAGGATAGTTCCATCCAGCTATAGCCATATGATTTGAGTCTTCCTCACTGTAACATACGTAAGCTCGGACAGTACTTACAATACCAGGATCACGTACTGTTTCAACTTCTCTAGCGGATTCACTGTAAGTGCAAGAGTCAAATAGGAAGGCACCAAAGTTTGGAGCTAAAGATACATCTCCTGCTCCTCCTCCTCCAGTTATTTCAACCTTTTCCTTTGATAGATAGAAGGGAAGCGTTCATTGCAAAGAACGAATCTACTTGATTGATGCTAAATTCCACAACATCATTACAATTAAATGACTTGATGAACGGCGTATAAGATCTATACTCAGCCTTGCGAATAGATTCATCGAATGCTGGAGATCGATATAGATCAAACATCGGAGAAGTATGTGATGCTGCTGCTGCTGCCTCCTCAGTTTTTCTCTTTTTGTACATGATTCTTGTTGTTGTTGACATGATATCCAAGTGAGCGTAGAAACAGGAATAATTTGATGTAGTTAGTAGTAGATGTCGTCGCTTAGGTGCTTGGGGTAATACTGAAGTTGCCTTGGAAGCACCACTATGTCTTATAATCACTAATCCCATCTGCGCTTCGCTCTCAACTCCAACACAAGAGTACTAGTTTCACCTTGAAAGTTTACAGGACGACCGTCTTGATCTAAAGCCAACACTGTGATGTTGGTTATTCTTGTTTCGGTATAACAGGTAGATATAGTAAATTTACAGGTGTTTTCGACTATAGCGTATCCAGGATCGGCTGTCACAGCAAATTCGTAGATCGTGTGTGCAGGCGTGTCTCCGTCAAAGGCTCCCGACGTAATGTTAGCATCAAAGTGTATGGTTGATACTTTTATTATGTTTACAGGTAAATCAGAAGAATGCTTTTGACCAGGATTAAGAACTTTTTTCGAGAATCCCAATAGATGTCCAAGATTATTCGGTTCTGTAAAAACTATTTTATAATACTTGCTAAAGATTCACATTGCAGTGTATTATTGTAGGTTTAGAGAAAATAATCATCCGGAGGAGCAACTTCATTTTCAAGATTCATTTGCGTTCGTATAAATGTTTCTATGTCGGTAATTTCATAACAACCTGTCGGAAACTCGATGACTTTTAATGGACCACCACCCACCTATCCGGTCGATATAATAAAATTTATCTCCTTTTTCAATATTCGGTATGGAATTGTATGAAGTAAAAGACCTAAGCGCCAATTCATAATCTTTTTTCGGATCCAACACTATCGGGTTGAAGGACGAAATGAAAATATATGAGTAGTGCTATTGACTCTCAACAACTGCGACATGATGAATGAAAAATATAGCTGTGTACTAAGCATTTATTCAAGTTTTTTTTTTTTGTTTATTTTCGAATGGATATTTACAGAAATAACAATTGCTTGAGCAGTAGCCGGTCCATCCCAATGTGTTGTCCAATCAGGTCTGTTGTAGTGAACATAGCATGGAAGTCGTATTTGAAGATCAAAATTGGATGTGTATTCTGCAGGCAGTTTGTGCCATATACTCAATAATTCTGCAGGTCTCACATTGCTTATTAAATATTCCAGCGGCGGAATATTCTTCTCAAACTCTTCTAATGTAAATTCCGATAATGTTTTATTATCCATCGTTGTTGTTGTTGTTATGTTTAGAAATTTCAAACACAATTGTCCGCAATTAACTTGATTATAAGTTTGGTAAGGATCGTTGTTGTAGAAAATTTTAGCGTTTTCAGATATCGAACAAGTTCCTGTGGAGGCTTCAGGTTACCAAATGAATCGAAATACTCAACGTTGTGTTTATCTTTTTATAAGCTACCCAATGAGTTCCGTTGTTTTGTGAAATATCTAAGTTCACGACGGCGCATTCTCTTTTCCGTGGACCGTCTCGTGGGTAAAGTGTCACGCATGAAGACACCTCGGAAATGAGGTATGTTCAAGAGCTTCGCATATTGCTTTATTTCATAATCATAAAGCGCTTTCTTGGGTTAGCTTGATGTTTAGTTTTTTTGAGTTTTTTTTTTGAGGTACAAACCCATAACCACCTTTAGCATTTTTTCTCAAATACAATCCTTTGCCCAAAGACTCCATAGCTTTTGTTATGGCGATGGTCTTCCTCCAATTTCTTTTGTGCATTCTGGCATCAACGACCGTTTTGGCCAACACCTGCAGCTCCCCCTGCGAGCGCCCCCAAGGCACTTAATCCGGCGAAACAAGGGGGATCAAGGGTAGGAATCCCCCAGATTTGCCTT